GGGGGGCGGGCAGCAGAAGCACACAGACCCAGGGGGAGGGGGCAGTGCTGGTCCTCGTGTGGCTCCAGACTCATGGACCCCAGCAAGTCCTTAATCTCTGGGCGTCCAGGCGTAATTTTAGTGTGAAACAGATGTTGAACAGCAGTGTTTTCAAGACTCAAATAGTGAACTCACCAGCACTTTGAAAAGAACTGTTCCAGAACCTTCAGGAATTCCACATGTAGAACCTATATTACATTAAATCATTTATTATCATAAAGTTCATCTTTCTGGTTTCCAGTGAAATCCTACACAGTTCGTTGCTCCTCTACCATTGAGTTATTAATTCTGTTCAAACGAGGGATTGGTCCCTCCCTTCGTTCCTGTGCACATGGGGGAGGGGGCACAGGGGAGATCCGGCAGGTCGGCTCCATCCTCAAGGGGCTGGCTCTGCAGGCTGGGGAAGGTGGGAATCGGCCCTCTGGCTGGAGGGTGGGGACGGGGGGCCCTGTGCTGTGGGGATATGACAGGTTTGGTTCTAAGGGCAGCGAGAAGCCTTGGGAAGGTTGGCCAGGGTGCTGCGAGGTTGGGGGACTGAGGCCGGGGGAGGGACGCGGGGAAGTGCAGTGCGCCCAGGAGTCCACTCCTTATCATTGGGTCCCAGCACGCACACTGCTCTCCGTGCTGGCTGTGTCCTTCATGTGGACACGTGAAGCCCCCCCACGAGCGAGGGGGCCTGGCAGAGCCTGCATGCTCCGGACACCTTTGTGGGGAGCTCCCACCCCTTCCGCAGCCACCTGCTGCGTGGACGCTGCCCACTCGGCCGCCCAGCGCAGGCTGGCTCAGGGTGACAGAGCTGGAGCCCACCTCCAAAGATCCATCTTAAAAATTGGTTACCCTTGACTCTTCCTGTCCTTGCACTCTCACTGTTCCCAGTGCTCACAGCCCTGTGATCAGGGCAGTGGGGGCTAGGGGGAAACCACCACCATCCCCCAATTCACGGGCACATGTCCAGGGTCAAAGTCCAAATGCCCTGGGCCAGGACCACCCGGCTCCAGCCCCTCCACAGCCCCTCCACAGCCGGGTCTGTCCAGCCTGCGGCAGGTAACCCTGCTCCCTCCCCGCCTATGACGGGGCCCCAGGCGGCCCCAGGAGCAGCAGGGAGGTGGACCCTGACAGCCGCCTGCAGAGTGCGAGGGGGGGGGGGGGGGGGGGCGGGAACCGAGTGGTGTGCCCCGCCCTACCCGCCCGCCCTCCGCGGTGGCCGTCCGGGGGCGACACGTCCTAGGAGCGCCAGACGGAAGCGCCGCTGGGACTGACACGTGGCCTTGGGCGGTGCTGCCTGTGTGGGTCGGCCAGGCAGGAGCCGGACCTGGACGCTCTGCGCCCCCCATGCAGCCGCTGCCGCCGCCGGAAGAAGCCCACAGGGACGGGGCCGAGGACTCCCAGTGGTCCAGGTGGGGCCAAGGTGTGGGGCGGGGTGGTGGCTTGGGGAGGGGGCGAGGCCACCATCCCTCCACCTGGGGTTGCGCACTTCCCTAGCAGTCAGCATACCAGTACCCAGACCCAACCCAGGACCCTCCTCCCTTCCATCCAGTCCCAGGGCCCAGAGTGCCCCTTGAGCCCTCTCCAGGCCCTCCAGGGTCCTGGGGTTGTGCAGGCAGGAGGTATCCCAGGAGGTCTGCCTGGGGGTGGGGGGGCAGCATCCCGGGTGGCGGGGAGGGAGCTCACAGGCACAGCTGTGAGTCCTAGAACTGACCCCTGCCAGGTAGGACCACACGAATTTCCAGGCCTGAAGGCAAGGAGGAGCCTACAGGGTCACCTGACAGGGAGCCCGTCAGAGGTAGGGGGTTGCTGAGTCCTGCCCCCACCTGCCAGCTGTGTGTGTGTGGACAGGCCTCTGTGGGCGGGGCCTAGGCAGATCGCCCACTCCTTTTTATACTCTGTGTCCACGTCCACTGCCACATGCAGAAGTCCCCAGGGCAGGGACACGCAGCAACCAAGAACGAGGTGGGACTGTCTGAGTCCCCAGACCACCGTGCCTCAGCCCTTGCTTACCCTCAGCCAAGCCAGCTGGACCCTGGGTCCAAAGTCGGGCCCTGGGATCCCAAGGCCAGTCCACCAGCTCCCATAGTCTGGGGAGCCTGCTCCCTGTAGGTGACGGCTGATTCCTGCCCCTGCATCCAGGCACAGGCTTGCAGGAAACCCCTAAAGGGCAGCTCCCCCACCCCGCCCTACCGCCCTCCCCCTCCCCCCCCGCCCCCCGCCAAGGCTGGGGCAAGATGAGGGCAAAGCTAGTGGGAAAGATGGAGAGAGGCTGGCATTTCGAAGTAGCCCTCAGAAGCTGGAAGTTTCCTGTAGGACAGGGTGTGGAGAGTGGGGTGTCTCCCTGCCAGGCAAACACTGGGACAGGACTCTGTGCTCTGGGTTACGGCCGGGTCCAGAGTGCCCTGCGGCCTGCCTTGCTCTCGTCTTCCCTCCCCGCCGTCCCGATTATTGAGGTGCTGATCCAGGTGGCAGGCCAGGCTCCACGACCATGTGGGCAGAGGGTTGTGGCCCAGGGCTATAGAATGTTCTGCAAACTTCCCTCTCAGGTTCTGTTTCAATGGCTCTGGCTGGCCCTGCCTTAACTTCTTCCCTCTGTGCTTGGCTCAGGAAGGAGCACCTGCAGCTCCCCAGGCCCTTGGCAGGCGAGGTCGCCCCAGCTCCAGAGGTCTGTGGGGTCCTGGGTGGAGCTGGGCTCAGCTGGGACGAGGCTGACCCCACCCCTGTGTGGACAGTCATATCAGTCACAGTGAGCGTGGTGGTTTATTGCAGCCAATGCGGCGTGCCCTCTGTGTCAACAACCACACGTCTGCTCTCGTGGTCCCGGGAGGCAGGGCCGCCGCTCCTCAGCCGCAACCCTGGGGTGGGGGCAGCCAGTGGCCTTGGACCTGTGTGTTCTCTCCTGGCCTGCAGCGCCGGCACATTTCCCTTTTCTGAATGGAGGGACACGTGACCACACATTTGCTCAGCCATGGATGCTTCTCATGCACAGGGCCGTTGGCAGGAAGCAGGGGGTTCTAGAAGGTTCACAGGAAGCATTCTGATGAGCTGGGGGCACAGACCTGAGGCTCAGGACCAGTCCAAGTGAGCAGGATGAAGCTTTCCTGGCCCATTCTGCCGTGGCCTGTGTTCCCAAGCAGCCCTCCGTGGGATGGAGGAGTCTGGGCCTGGCGTGCTAACCAGCCCTTGGGCAGCGGTCTGTGTCGGGTCCCCACCTGCAGCCAGACTTCCTCGTTCTGTGTCCCCACCCGCTGTAGAGGAAGTCACTTGGCCTGCCTAGCTGGCACTGCCCGCCGGCTCAGGGCCTGGGGGGCCTCCGGGGCCCAGGAGGAGGCACACAGCACCTGGCCCCACACAGGCTCAGAGCAGACTGGTTGCCTGCATGCTGAGGGGCCTTCCTTGGCGTCCTGTGGTCATAAGGAGGCCAAGGGGCAGCACCGTATTCTAGGTACCAGCCAACCTTCTGGAGTGGGTCGGCCTCAGCCGGCCTTCCAGTGTTTCTGACTGGACTTCCCACCCAGCCTATCACGGTCACCAGTGAGAGGCACCCGAGGGCCAGGTGGGCATGCTGGATGCAGGTGACCCTCCACAGCTTTGGCCACAGAAAGGAATAAAGCTCCTCGGGCAGGCACACGGACGCTTGCAGAGAGCCCGAGCACGGGGGCGCAGGAAGACTGCGGGCCCACGGGGGCCACCCAGCATAGGGCATCTGGAAGCCCTGGTGATGCCGCCGAGCAGGCATGCCCCCAGGGGCTCCAGCCGCAGCCACAGGGCTCAGGCCGGCAGCTGGCCTGACTCGGACGGGCCGTCTGGACTGTTGCTCTGTGCCTCCCTGGAAGGCCAGCAGGGCGTCTACTCAGAAGGAGCAGTGTCCCCGACAGGCCTGCTGCCCTTGGGATGAACACCTGGGATGGACACCTGGGGTGAGGTGCTCACAGGCCAGGTTCGGCCAAGGCCCAGGGATGGGCACCAGGGAGACGTTGGGGGTGTCATCTTCAGGTTTGGAACCCCAGAGGAGATGGGTGCCTGAGCCCACAGCGGTCTCAACACCTAGGGGTCCCGCGTCTGTGTCCGATGGGCACTGAGCAAGTACGGATGCCCACCCCACCCCCGCCCCTTGCCCTGCCACCACCTCCTGGTCTTCAGTTCTGGCAAGAAGACTAGCCCAGAGGGAGAGCCGGTGAGCTGCCCTGCGGGCCGCCCCTCCATGCTGGCATCTCCAGCAGGGGAGGCCGCTGACACCTGTCAGGTCTGCCCCACTGTCCGGGCTTCTGAATCATTCCAGGAACATTTGGGTGTGGGGCATGACGACGAGGGGTCCCTGGGCAGTTTCCGAGAGGAGCGCCCTCCCCCAGCCTCAGACAAAGCAGGGTCTGGTGTCCGGCTTCTGGAATTGCAGAACTGGGTATATTTTTAGCAGGGGACCCTATTTCCCACTGGACTGCTGTGTAAGTGCAGAGAGCAGCGGAGGGGTGCCCACGAGTCCCACCCAAGGCACCCCTCGGAAATCTTGGTCCCACCTCTTCCCCGTGCACGTGGAGGGATGGCAGCCCAGGGACGGGCCCAGGCGGTGCCCCAGCCTCTCCGCCTGCAGAGTTCTCTACTGCAGCACACCACACAGCCCATCGAGGGCTGGCTGGCACGCTGGACCCGGAGTTCCCAAACCAGCCCACACGGGGCCCGGCCTGCAGTTATGGGTCTGCTGGGGGACAGCAGGCTGGGCTGTTGGGACCCTGAAACCCCTGAGAGATGCTGTCGAACCTCGCATCCACTGTGTCTGCTGGTGGGACTGCGGTCTGTCCAAGGGCAGCGGCTCTTGGCTGCGGAGGGTGGCGGCCAGGGAGGCCTGGTCGTGCAGAGTGCATCCTCCTCCCTGACTGTGGGAAAGAACATGGTGGTTTGCAAGGGGGCGTGGACCCACGTGGACCTGCCGGCCCGAGGATGTGGACATGGTTGCCTTGCCTCCCTCCCGGGCAGTGACAATAACTCCTTGTGGGGACATCAGGAACTTGCTGGTCACTCCGCTGTTTACTGACCCATGAAGGAGGCAGATGTCATGGGCATGAGCCCTTCTTCATTGAGGAAACAGGCTCGAAGAAGCCAGTCCACAGCCCCAACCAGAGCCCCAGCATGGCAGCGGGCCACGGACGGCAGGTGCAAACCCGCACTCCCCTGATGAGTCCCCAGGACAGCTCCTACGGTCAGCCGTCCACCCTGCTGGGAGGGGGCAGCCCGACGTGCCGCTGGTCAGCTGTTCCCCCAGCGAGGCGGGCCCTGTGCCAGGTCGGGGCCTGCCTGTGGGGTGGCGGGCACAGCTTATTAGGCCCAGTGACCCGGTTCCTGGCGTGGGCACGACCCATTGGCAAGAAGGTGCCCTCAGGCCTTGGAGGTCGTTCTTCCCCGGGGAGGAGCCAGCCGCCTGCCCCTGTGCCTCACTGGGGACGTCTGGTGCGGGCGGGACCCCTGAGCTCCCTGCCGGTTTGCTTCCAGGCCTCTCCGCTGTCCTCAGCACCCGCCCCTCGGTGCCACGCCCGCCACCCCAGACACTGCAAGCCCCCCCGGGCGCCCCCGCCCATCTCCCACCTGCTTGGGTGTCGCCCACAGCTCCTCCCTCTCTTGTCGTTGAAAAGTCAGCTTCGTCTCTGAGGACAGTTCTTGATTTCCAGAGTCACTCTGAAGGACCTGGGGTCCCCTGTGCCCACGTACCTCCCGCCACATTTGTCCGTGTCCTGCCTTTGTCCCGTCAGCGAATGTCCACACGGCACTAGGAGCCAAAGCCCATCATTTGTTGAGATTGCTGCTGTTTGTTTTGATGCTCCAGGACCCCACTAGGGTCCCACATGCATGGGGTTGTCATGTCCTCCTGGCTGGGGCAGTTTCTGACTTCCCTGGTCTCAGGGACAATCACAGAGCACGGGCCAGGAGTTTCGAGGACCGTCCCTCTATGCACACCTGCCTGGCCACCTCCCCCGGCAGCCAGCAGTGCTTCGCCCCTGCCCAGGTTCTCCAAGAGCCAACCGCTCCGACAGCGCTGTGTCCCCCTGCTGGCCGCCCAGCACCGCCTGCCCGATGTCCTCTGCTGGGCAGACACCACTTTCCTGGGGACCCCCTGGGGACCCACCGTCCTGCTCCCACTCTGTGGGAGGCCCTCCCTCGGTCTCAGCCCCGGGGCCCCCTGGGCGGGTTGCTGAGCTGTCAGCTGCATGGGAGCTGGGTGCTTGGATCCTGACGGCCAGTCCTGGGGTACAATCCTCCGGGTGTGGTTTGTCTTACCTGCCTTTCTGCGGGCCGTCTGGCTGTTCCCAGCCTATGCTGCCGCGAGCGATTTGTTTCCAGTGTCGGCCCGTGCTCTCCGAGCCACGGACAGGGGGACGAGGTGTTTGAAGGCGGCCATGCTGCCCCTCCGGGCCTGACGCAGCCCCTTCTGTCCTGCAGGCCCGAATGCCAGGTGTGGACAGGGACACTGCTGCTGGGCACCTGCCTGCTGTACTCTGCCCGCGTCAGCATGCCCGTGTGCGCCGTCTCCATGAGCCAGGACTTCGGCTGGAACAAGAAGGAGGCCGGCATCGTGCTCAGCAGCTTCTTCTGGGGCTACTGCCTGACGCAGGTGGTGGGCGGCCACCTGGGGGACCGGTGAGCAGCACTGCCCCCCATGCAGGGGGAGGCGGCTCCTGCAGAGTGTGGGGAAGGGCCCCCCCAGACAGGACATCACCTGGGAGAGCCGAGCTCCATGGGGGTGGCGGTTGGAGGGGGGTAGGTGCCCAGCACCCTGAGGAGCCCCCGGCAGCCCAGTGGGGTGCTTGTTGGGACAGACGGACAGGCTCAGCTGTGCTCCTACCGCCCACCGCTTCGGCAGAGGAGGACAAGGCAGCCGTGCCCAGCCCGGAGCCGCTCTGAGCAGGCTTGGGCCCTGGTTCCCCCGGGCAGGATCTTCCCGGCCCGCCTGCCCGCCCGGCTGCACAGCTCCCGTCACTGTCCTCCTGTCGTCCTCCAGGATCGGTGGTGAGAAGGTCATCCTGCTGTCTGCCTCCGCCTGGGGGGTCATCACGGCCGCCACCCCACTGCTCGCCCGGCTTGGCAGCGCCCACCTGGTCTTCATGACCTTCTCTCGCATCCTCACGGGTTTGCTCCAAGGTAGGGCTACCTGGTAGCTGCCGCCCCTGGTCTCAGCCATGGGAGAGCAAGGCGAGTGCGTCGTCCCTGGGCGAGTGTGCGTGCTCGTGTGCACACACATGTCCTCACTTGTGCTCCCGCGTGCGGCGCGCCTACACCAGAAGAGGGCGTCAGCGGCTCTGTGTGGCCGTGGTGAGGTCTCCGGAGCCATGGGCTGGCAGTGCGGCCCAGGCACAGAGTGGGGGCTCAGAGCCCGCGGGCGGCCCCCGGGCCGGTCTGACGCCGCAGCGCCGGGCCTTCTCTAGAGACGCTGCCAAGCCTGGCACCTTCCAACGTCGGATCCTCCTCTGCCGGAGAGGCTGCTCCAGAGGCATGGGCGGCAGTCAGCGTGGTGCGCGGGCACGGTGGGGACTTGCTGAGTGTCTGCGTGGGGCTGGGCAGAGGCTGCCCCCTGGCCAAGCCCCCCGGGACCCACATTGCTACCGATCTGCTGACCTGCCCCAGCAGTCTGGCTCATGGGCAGTCGGCTCCTGTGAGTTCACCCCATGCGCCCCACATGTGGCCTGGGGCTGGTCCTGCAGCCAGGCTGTTGCACGCCGGCTGGGGTTTCTGGGCAGGAGCCGGCTCTCTGGGCGCCCAGCCAGGTGGCCCTGACCCATCTTCCTGGGAGGCCGGTCTGTGGCCCAGTAGGGGGGCTCGAGGGGCAGCCATCACTCTGGGTGACTGGTGGCACTTGGCGTGGGCTGGGGGACGGGGCCCTGATGGGAAGGCCAAGCCCTGTCTCACCCCCTGGCCTCTTAGCTTTTCCTGGTGCTTTTAGAGAAGAGCATAGAAAAGGGAGCCGCAAAATCAGATTTTGAAATCATTGTAGAGTCACAGGAAGTTGTAAGGAAATAACAGGGAGGGGCCAAGCTCCCTTCCCCGCCCCCCAGGGCGAGGGCTGGTGGCGCGCAGGGCAAGGTCACGTGGGGCACCACGGCTGCACAGGGCTGTCCGTGCGCCGTGGGCGCGAGAGTGGGCGTGAGTGTGGGCGTCAGCGCCAGGACGCTGGGGCTGGTGTGGCCCCGAGGCCGGTGTCAGGGTCATTCCCAAGGCTGCGCTGGTGGCCCGACCGTGAGCACAGCTGTCCCCCACGCTGAGAGTCTTTAGCTGAGTCCTGCTGGTCCCTTGGGGGTGAGGTGAGCAAGAAGGACACCCCAAACTTGAGTCGTCCCGGATGGGTCCCGGGGAGCTTCCCAGCCTGGCTCCCAGCCCTGCCTGGCCACCCTCGCTGGCCCCGGCTGACTGTTGGGGGACACAGCTCTCCGCTTGTTTCAGGCGTGTACTTCCCGGCGCTGACCAGCCTGCTGTCCCAGAAGGTACGAGAGAGCGAGCGAGCCTTCACCTACAGTGCCGTGGGGGCTGGCTCCCAGTTCGGGTAAGTCCCGGCCCAGGGAGCCCGGGGGACAGAGGGTGTGCCCAGGGGGTCCGGGCAGGGACAGGCCATGTGGGCGTGTTTGTGGCTCAGGGTGATGCGGGCGGCTGGTTCCGTGCTGCGGGAGACCCGCCATCCCTGTGCAAAGTGCCTCCCTGTGCATGTCCTGTCCCCGGCACCTGGGCAGATGGTGTGGCTTTGAGGCGTGTGGGCTGGGGCAGCGGCCACTCCCCCGAGGCCCTTTCATCTGTGCTGGGGAGCCAGAGGGGTGCCGTCCACTGGGGAGTGGGGCAGTGGGCGCGGTCCAGACGTGATTCCCGTGCTCCCGCATGGAGGCCTCGCTCGGGGAGAAGGGCCATGTTGCTGTGCAGATGGGGCCTCGCAGCCCCTGGGCTCAGGCCCCTGACGTCACTGCCCCCAGGATGTAGGCAAGAAATCAGAGGGTCGGGGGTGCCCGTGGATGGCCCAGTAGCAGCCCAAATAAAAACCCAGGGCGCCCAGTGGAACGGGAATTCTGGATAAACTGCATGGGGCAAACTTGCACAAAGAAGGACGTGCTGTTTTCCTGAAATCCCGCCTCAGCCAGGCGCCCTGGGCCCGGGTCTTGCGCTGAGATGCACAGGGAGAGACTCTGCCCACGGAGGCTGTGAGGGGAAGGCATCCCCCAGGCCTGCTGGCCCCGCTCTCCTTCCTATGTCTTCTCCTTTAACCGTCCTGGCTGGAGGTCCGCGGATGGCCGGGTGTGTGGGAGGGGAGGCCCCACGGGGGTGTCTGGGACCCTGGGAGCCGCCGGGCGTCCGGGCGTTGTGCTGGGCTCTGTTGCTTCTGCATTTAGAAATCTGAGAATTTCAAATTAAAAAAAAAAAAAGAAATCAGAATTTCAGCCTGTCTGCCCCGTGAAGCTGGACAGCACGGAGGCTTTATTTGAGTTCCCAACACCACCCCTTCTTCTTCGCAGCCTTTTTTAGTTTAGAAGGAGCCACACCACAATGGGAGGCCAACTTGAAGGCCTGGAAGCAAGAAATTAGAGCAAGGCAGGGCCCCCATGCCACGTCACAGCCACGTGGCTGTGCCCACATCCCCCGGGTCTGAGGCATCCAGAAGTCTCCCCAAAAGCTTGAAACGCTTCACCAAATATGTTCAGACTGGGGCTTCTGAGCCTGCTTCTCTGGCGACGAGCTCCCGCGGCGGGGTTGGGGTTCTCAGAGGGTCGCCTTGCCTGAGTGAAGCCTGGGGTCACGGCCACGCTGCTGTCTGTCCTCCAGGACGCTGGTGACGGGGGCCGTGGGCTCCCTGCTCCTGGACTGGTGCGGCTGGCCGAGTGTCTTCTACTTCTCCGGTGGGCTCACCCTGCTGTGGGTGTGTTACGTGGACAGGTACCTGCTGAGTGAAAAAGGTAACCGTGGCCGGGTGGGTGACTGCCGGCAAACGCAGCTGCCCGGGGAGGGGCGTGGGCCTGGCGCCCGTCCGCTCCAGTAGCCGCTCATCATCCGCTGAACGCAGGACGCCGAGCTGCGGCTCTGCCCCGTCTGCAGCCTGAGGAAAGCCCGCTCTCGGGCCAGCTCTGGCCAGGTTCCGGCCTCAGAGCTGTGCCCGGGCAGGCGCAGGCACACGGGGATAGCTGTCCTCCAGGCACAGGCTCCCTGGAGGAGCAGCTGGTCTGAGGACTGCAGGAAGCAGGGCCTGGGGGCTCCGGGGGCAGGGGAAGGGCTGAGAAACATTGTTTCTCAACACGAGCGTTGACCCTCAACGGTAAATGCCGACAACCCAAGATGCTCGCTGGGAGGATGGCGTGGTGGGACCCACACTCAGCCAGGCAGGGCCACAGGGCTGTCGGGGCGCCGGCCCCCAGGAGCTGCCCCCAGAAGCCGGTCGGCTGTGAGTGGTGCTGTCATCCGATTCTGAGTAGCTTTCACGTGGGACACCTTGCTCCCCTCAGATCTCATCCTGGCCTTGGGTGTCTTGGCGCAAGGCGTGCCAGTGTCCAGGCACACCAAAGTTCCCTGGAGGCAGCTTTTCCGAAAGCCTTCCGTCTGGTGAGCCGGTGTCTCGGGACCACAGTGTGTGGGGGGTGCCGCGGGACGGGGGGAGCCTGGCGGGTCTCGGTGTTCCCCGCGCGGCCCCCCCAGAGCTTACGCGGGCGTGGGTCCCCCCACCCCATCCTGGCTCCTGAGCTCCACACCCTCCGCCCCGGGGTGGGGGCGTGCTCGGGGGGGGCCGTGTGTGGGGCCGGGGCGTGTGGACCCTGAGCCTGGCGCCCGTCCCGCAGGGCAGCCATCTTCTCCCAGCTGTCCTCTGCGTGCTCCTTCTTCATCCTCCTCTCCTGGCTGCCCACCTTCTTTGAGGAGACATTCCCCAGCTCCAAGGTGGGTGGGCCGCCCTGGTGCTCACGGGGTGAGGGAGGGCCACAGAGCCAGTGCCTGGCATGCACGGGGGCCCTTGGTTCCGCCTGGACTCTGTCAGTTCTGGCCGCGGGCTCGTGACCCTGCGATGGCCCCACCCAAGCTCACAGCCGGCACCTCTGGCCGGCACGTGCTGGTGAGGACAGGGCGGCTTCCTGCCGCCCCCGCAGCATTCGTTCCCAGGATGGACCGCATGCAGCCGCCCCTATGGCTCAGCGGCCAGTCTGTGGATGGTCATTTCTGAGGATGGGCTGGGGGGGGGTCGTGACATGGGCAGGCAGGGGTGTCCCCTGCTGGTCAGCTTGGCTCACACCAGCCCGGCCGTCTGGCCACCCTCCCCGTCTGGTGACCAGGACCCCCTAAGTGGCACATCCCCAGGGTGGGCCTGCACCCCCAGCTCAGCCCGGTCACGGTGTGGGGAGCCACAAGGGAGATGTGGTCTGCAGGGAGACAGCGCTGGTGGACCTGGAGCTCGGCCAGGGTGGGGGACAGTCAGGGCCAGGGAGGCCCCCGAGCCCGAGAGCCCAGCCTGTGGGCGGGGAGAGCCATCCTGGGCATCGGTGGCTGTGGGCAGCCACCTGGCCCATGCAGACTGTCCCCTCTGAGGCCTCCCTCCTCCCTGCAGGGTTGGGTCTTCAACGTGGTGCCCTGGCTGGTGGCGATTCCCGCCAGTCTGTTCAGCGGGTTTCTCTCTGACCATCTTATCAATCAGGGTGAGCCCTGGGGAAGGGGCCACTGGGAACCAGCCCGGCTTTGTCACACTTGGGGGGTGGGAAGCACCCCTCCTGGGGGGTCCTACAGGGATGTGGGGCCTTGTCCCCCGAGGACCTCCCATCAGTGTGGGACCCCATCCCTTCAGAGCTGGCCTCCCCCAGCCTCAGTTTCCCTGAGGGGTTTGGGGTGCCGTGAGAGGGTCCGAGTCCTGTGACCGTGGAGCTCCTCCTCGGGGCCTGGATGCAGCCCCGACCCTCTGCAGAGGACGAAAGGCCACTTGGTGGGGTCAGAGGTCTTAGGTCCGGGTGGGCTGTGTATGTGGGCCCGGGGCCCCAGGGAACACCCCCGAGGACGAGGAGCTCACAGACACGCATGCTTAGATGTTAGTCCTTTCCTAATTACAAAACTGCTACCCACTCATGGTGGGAGAAAGAGAGGATTTGGAGAAACGTGAAGAAAGCACATTCGTAACCATCCCAGCAGCCTTCCTTCTGTGTGTCTGCTTGACTGTGTCCTAGAGGATCCTCTAGGTGCACGCCCAGTGCACGGTACACGTGCTTGCACACGCGCTCACACACGTGTACACGTGCATGTGCACACGCACACACCCAGGACACAGGACCCCCGGGGCAGGTACGTGCGCACACGCGTGTACACACGCCTCCTGCACGACACGGGACACCCCACCTTGAGCCGAGTGCCCCTTCCCCTCCTTCCCTGCTCCCTCTCTGCAGCCGTGCCGGCTGGGACCCCATCAGGGGCCCTCAGGGGCTCAGCACAAATGGGCCAATGGGACCATCTCCCCGTCTCCCTCTGCTCAGGTTACAGGACCATCGCTGTGCGGAAGTTCATGCAGGTAGGGAGAGGGTGGGATGGGTCTCTCTGGACACCCCTGTTTGGTTCCTGGGACCCAAGGGGTGTCGCCAGTCACCCAGCCCAGAAAGCATTTGGAGGGTGCCCTGGGTCAGTGCTGGAGGCCGGCTTGGCTGACTTGAGGCGCTTCTCCCAGCTCTGTTTTGGATTCTCTGTGTCCCTGAGCCCTGGCACACATGTCTGGGCCTGGTCACTCACATTTCCCTCTCAGTCCGACCAGTGGGGCTGGCTTATCAGGAGCCTCGTGTCACGCATCCCCAGGGCAGGCTGGGAGGGGCTTTCCCCCCGGACCTTGTTCAGGGCACCCCAGGTGTCCACCACAGCCCATGCCCTGCCACCCACCCTCTCTCCCGCAGGTGATGGGCCTCGGGCTGTCCAGCGTCTTTGCCCTGTGTTTGGGTCACACCTCAAGCTTCTGTAAGTCCGTGGTATTTGCATCAGCGTCCATTGGCCTGCAGACCTTCAACCACAGGTAAGGGCCGGGCGCCCCTCCCACCAGAGCTGCCCCATGCTGCCCGCTGTTGTTTGTTTCATCCTGGTAGTGGATTCCTGCACTGTGTCGTGGTGGGGATGGGACAGCCAGGGTGGGCACGATGGCCCGAGTGGGGCTGTGCCCCTGGTGTGGTCTCGTGCCCCAGCATGGCGGGCAGGCCTTGGCTGGGCTGGGTTCTGAGTACCCACTTGGCAGTTTCTAGGCTCCAGGTGCTCAGAGGACCAGCCCTGGGCTTAGGGGGGTGACAGCCGCCCCGTGGTCACCCCTTTCCTCTTTCCCACAGCGGCATTTCGGTCAACATCCAGGACCTGGCCCCATCCTGTGCCGGCTTTCTGTTTGGTGAGAACCGCTGGTCCCTGTTTGAATAGGAAGTTGCGTTCCCCACCCATGCATGGCTCACCCAGCCTTGCCCCCTCCCTGGGCCCCCAGGGCTGCCCCCGGATAGGGGGGCCTCCTGTGACCCGTCCTTGTTCTCTTCCTCTGTCCTGTTCGCAGGTGTGGCAAACACAGCTGGGGCCTTGGCAGGTGAGAGGTGGGCTGGGCTGGGGTGCCTCCTGGCGGCCCCAGCCCTGCAGGGTGGGCATGGCACCATCGAGGGTCCCACAGTGCCAGACCAGTGGGGAGGGGAGAGTGCAGCTCACGGAGCTGGTCCAGGGCAAGAACCCAGCCACTTTCCATGGTGTTCCCTTTTCTGATGGTGCGTATCCCAGCCCCCACTTGACCCACCGATGTGAGTCAAATCCTCGAGGCCCAGGGTTCCTGGGGTTGAGTGCCTGGATGATAATGATGGGGCTTATTCCCCCTGGGGGGTGCAGAGGGACCTGTGAGGGTCATTTTCCTGGGCAGCCTGTGAGGTCTCTGGCCTTCTGAGACCCTCTGATGCCGGCCCTCCCTTGGCCTGGTGGCTTGGACCCCTGAGTTCAGCTTCTGTCCCTCAGGCCGCCCCTGGCCTCCCGTCCTGGAACCCCACCACCAGCTGCGCTCCTCGGCACTGCCCTCGGGACGGCCCCGGAGCACTCGGCCTGTCTACCCCCGTCTGCTGCAGGTGTCGTGGGCGTGTGCCTGGGGGGCTACCTCATCGAGACCACGGGCTCCTGGACGTCCATGTTCAACCTGGTGGCTGCCGTCAGCAGCCTGGGGCTGTGCACCTTCCTGCTGTTGGGAGAGGCCCAGCGAGTGGACCTGAGCCCCACCCGCGAGGACCTCTAGCTGCCCCAGCCTGACCGTTCCTTCAGTGCTGTCTGCCTTGGGGTGACGGGCTCTGTTTGAGAGCCTCCCACTCCTGACCCCAGATGTGTAAGCAGGGGGAAAGCGAGACCTAGCCAAGCCGGGCTGCCCTGGCTGGGCCTCAGTTTCTCCAGCGAGGTGATCGTGCCTTCCCCTCAGGGTGCGTGGACTGTCAGGGGTGAGTGGAGTTAGTGTTTCTAGCAGTGGCTGTGTCTTTACACACAGTCTGTTCCATGTAGATCCACGTGCCCCTGCGGTCCCCATGGTGGGAGCTTTGCCCGTCCCTGCAGGGGCTGGACTCTTCCCCCCAGACCTGCTCTGCTTTGCTTCTCGGCACATGGGGCCAGATCATTCTTCGTGGGGTGAGGGGGGCTGTCCTGTGCACTGGGCCTGCATCCGGGGCCCCCATCTACTAGGTGACCCCCCAGTCATGACAACCAACACTGGCTCCTGGCATCACCACGTGTCCCCAGGGGAGCTGCCCTGGGTGGGACCTGCAGCTCTCATGAAGCCTGTTAGGGGCTGCTAGGGGCATTTCAGCTTCTCCAAGTTCAGTGGGTGGGCCGTGGGCTAGACGCCCTTGCCCATCTTTGGGGACCCCCCCGGCATCCCCCGTGGGTCCCTTGGCACTCGTGAAGTGTTCTGCCTCCCTTGGGCCCACTGACGCCAGCAGTAAGGGGACTGTGGGTCCCTCTCCTGCCCAGGGCACTCCGCAGGACCAGGGAGCCCTCCTGCATCGTCCTTCTCTCCTAAGAGAGGATCTGGTCGTCTTGGGAATTAATAACAGATCCTGCAAGATGTATACGTAGAAAAAAGAATCTAAGAATGTGGAAAAATCACCCCAGACTTATTTAAACGATGGCTATTAAACTGGAAAAGGAAGACTGTTACTCTTTCTTTTTTTAAAAGAATAACATGCAGCAAAGATTTGTTGGGCTCACTGCCGGGAAGCCGAGGAAGCAGGCAGAGGTTGTAGACAGGTGGAGGCGACCAAGCGGGGGAGCGGGGGCGGGGCAGGTGGGGCCCCTCTCCCACCGGGACCCAGCCGCCGGCCTTGCAGTGGGCTGCCCCCCGCAGCGGGCACCCACAGAACCGGGCCGCAGGGCCCGGGTGCACTCCACAAGGACGGCGGGCAGCTTTCCCTGTTTCTCCCTCCGCTGTCCCACTTTGGATCAGAAAGAATCTGAAAGATTCTTGATTACCGAACTCGAGTCTGGCCTCCTGGCTGTGGCCCAATTGTTTATGGAGGTGCGCTGGGAATGTCACTTTACCACAAAGGCCCTGGCGTTCTCGCGTTCCTCGGCTGGAGGTTTTCCTGAGCGACCCCTGTGGCGGAGGAACCCAGCCCCTGAGAGTCCCCGCGGCGGACGTCCTGCAGCACCAAGCACGTTCAAGCCCTTGGACACGGGAGCTGAGCTCTTCCCGCGGGCCAAGCCGTTTCTGGGATCTTCCACCTTCCCAAACTGAAACTCTGTCCCCATTAAACAGCATTCCCCCTCCCTGCCCACAGCCGCCGGCCCCCACTGTCCACGTTCTGTTCCTGTGGATGTGACGGCTCTGGGTCCCTCACGCAGTATGTCCTTCAGTGACTGGCCTGTTTCACGGAGCGTAATGTCCTCCACGTGGTAGCAGGTGTCAGAATTTCCCTCCTTTTTCAGGCTGAGCCATACTCCACTGGGTGGATGGGCCTCATTTTGTGCATCCGTTCCTCTGTGGATGGACACTTGGTTTGTTTCCACGTCTCGGCTTCTGGGAATAATGTTGCTGAGAACATGGGTGTCTCTAACCCACAGCGAGCCGTAAAGTCTTTGAGAGCCCAAGCGAGAAGGTGGCCCTTTCTGCAGTTCCTCAGTCTTCCAGGGTCTCAGACCTTGAGCCCCTGCGGGAATGTGGGACCCAGGAGGTGATGGTGGGTCTGCTCAGAAGGGGAGCCAAGGCCCCAGGCCTCCTGGACACCACACTGAGTCCCGCTTCGGTCACTTCCTCAAAGTCGGAGGAGGGAGGCTGGCATGTGGGATTTGGGGGACACGGGCCTGGTGCTGAGCAGAGGGGCCCGGCCTCCTCCCAGCACTGCTGTTCCTGGTCTGGAATGCCCTCCTGGAGTTGGGTGTGCTCTCCCTAACCCTTCCCAAGGCCAATGTTGGGCCTCGGTCAGGGCTCCACAGAGTCTGGGGCACGTGGTTGCCGGCAGGGAGGGTGCTGGTAGCAAAGAGGGTGTTCGGGCAGGGTGGGAGGGCAGCCCTGGGCGGTGTGGTTGCTGCCCGCGGGCTTGGACACATCCCCGCCCCGGCAACAGCTCTGGCGGGTCCTACTGGCTGACGGGGCCCTGGGCCAGGGTCGGGCCGGGCGACAGGGGCAGAAGCAGCAGGACCAAGGGCGTAGAGCTGTGCCCACCTCCTTCGGCACACACTAAACCCAGCTCGCCGCCCACTGCCCAGAGGAGGGGCTCGGGCCACCGCGGTGCGGGAGCGGGCATGCGCCTGGGCAGCCGGCCCCTGGAGGCCCCTCGGGAGGCCTAGGCAGCTGCCGCCCACAACTAGCCAACAGAGGGCGCCGTTTGACAGGGCCGCGTCCAGCCCGCCGGTCCGAGCGGTGGTCCCCAGCCCCCACTAACGCGCGCAGGTACCCTCCGGCCCTGGCTGCTCAGTGCCCACATCAGGCGGTGCTCCTGGCTCTCGGCTCCGTTGGCGGGAACTGTTGAAAGGAGGTTCCAGGTGCGGGGGGCCGTGCGGCGAGGGCGGGTGGGCGGCGGGCCACCGCAGTGGGGCCGGGAAGGAGCTGGGGCGCTCCCGCACACGGGATTTCCGCCCCCACCGTTAACTGGCCACAGCGTGCAGCTCCAGGGCTCGCCCCCTCCACCCCTTCCCCAGGGCTGGGGACCCTGGGTCCTCAGGGGCAAGGCTCCTCGAGGGGAGTCGTCCTCCCACCTGAGCAAGTAGGCAGCAGGGACTGTGGGAGTTTCGACTCTGGGAACAATGGCCTCCACCTGATGTCCCTCCTGGGCGGGTCCAGGCTGCCGCTCGCGGTGCCCTCCCTTCATCTCCCATCCACGTGCAGGACCATGCAGGACCGACCCCTCCTGGTCACCATAAGGGACACTTTTCCCTTCTTTCTTTCTTTTTTTAGAGAAGGGGAGAGAGAGAGAGTGCGAGCTGGAGGGGGCGTGGGGGGAGGGGCAGAGGGAGAGGGAGAACCCCAAGCAGGCTCCAGGCTCAGAGCGAGCCCGATGCCCGGCTGGATCTCACGACCCTGAGATCATGACCCTAGCCACAATCAAGAGTCAGACGCTCAGCGCCCCTCCCTGTCTCTTTATTTATTTTATTTATTTATTTTTTTAGATTTTATTTATTTATTTGACAGAGAGAGAGTGAGAGCAGGAACACAAGCAGGGGGAGAGGGAGAGGGAGAAGCAGGCCTCCCGTTGAGCAGGGAGCCCAGTGCAGGACTTGATCCTAGGACCCCGAGAGCATGACCAGACGCTTAAACGACTGAGTCACCCAAGCACCCAACAGTTGCC